CCTCTCTCTCTCTCTCTCTCTCTCTCTCTCTCTCTCTCTCTCTCTCTCTCTCTCTCTCTCTCTATCTCTCCCTCTTTCAACACCATCTTTCTCCTCCCACCTCCCTATCTATCTATTTATTATCAATCTATGTATCGATCTCGTTGCGTCCGTTGCTGTCCCATTTATGTATTTTTTGCTCCAATTCCATAGAATCAACTGAAATCTGTTTTATTCTTTTGTCATTCTTGTATTTTTTATTCTATTCGGATTATCTATTGTTTCCGGCACGTAGAGAAAGATAAAGCATCATAATTCGTGCAAAACAAATAGTATTTGCGTTGATTTAGCCGCAATATAAAACCCTGGAGGAAGAGAATATATAGGAATAAATAAGATACAATTTATAACGAATTTGTTCGATTATATAAAATTATTTCGTTGTGGAGATACACGATGCAGACAATATACCGAAACATATTTTAATGAAAATATAAAATATTAGAATTATTAAGTGCTCTTTACAGTTGTCCAGCATAATTAAACTAACGTTTAATTTGATTTATAGGAACATTGTTAAATGTTCAATATTGTATAATGTGTCATCTAATGGAAATGAGCTCTATAATAATTGATTAAATTTTACTAGACGTACCAACGTTAATTTAATAAAGCACGAATCGGCAAACAAGTTTACATAACATTTTGCAAGTCTTTCCTAATTGCAGATAATTAATTTTAATGAGCACACATAACAGCAATATGTCATTGTCAAGGCCTATATTTGTAAAACAACACGTTCTGTCATGTCAAGTTGTCTATCAAGACGAATGGCGGGGTAAAATACGAACGATAATCGAAAAGACGATAGGTCCTTTGACGCGGTTTTTCCTTCTCCCCTAATTTACTCTGAATAGCAGTTGATTGATCAAGATTGAATAAGGCGATGTAATATAATTACATATTGCGAAAATATCGATATTGAACGGCAATGTAGGCCAACTTTTACAATATGTCGATTTTATTTCATAGTGCACGATTATCATTAAAGACATCAATTCATAACTTTTCTTGCGTACATACACGCAATCACAAAGTAAATTGCATTGATAATAATATTCTTAAGATAAATCAAGTTCAGAGAAAAATTTAATCTAAAAAAGAGTCATTATCACAACAAAAGGAAGTCAATGAAGTAAGTACTTGATTTACATTCATATATATTTAATTTTTATATAAACGTAATAATAATTTTTTTAATAATAATTTTGAACAATTTTTTTTCAGAATATCTGGCTGATGAAAACTGTTCGCTACATTTTCTAGATGTTCAACGACGCAGATAACAGCGAAACAACCGAATGTCTCAGGCTATGATTGTCCAAACGCAATTCTTGTCTACACGATATGATATCAAGAATTGTGTGGGGACATCAGCGCTCGGGATGCGAATCAGCTAAATATAGCCGAAAAAAAAGAGACCAATATTTATTATAGAGACTATATTATTATCGCATAAACTGCAAAAAAAGTTAAATTGTAAACTATTTTATCTATTTTATTACCCACTTGCAACGATATTATTGTTATAACTGAAATATAATTTTAGACAATAATGATAAAACCGCAATAAAGTTGTATCCCAGTATAGTATAAATCCTTCAATAAAAAATAAATATCATATAAAATAATAGATTTTTTCAGAAATTTAGTTTCATAAAATCCCTATTTTTTTCTTTTAGTCCAAATTTTTAATTAAATAAAATTTAACAAAAACAGTTCGAAAGTTATATTTTTTTAAGTAACTATAAATAAATAAAGCTACACCTAAGGTTTGAAAGAGTCAGATATTAAATGAATGGTCGTTATATAATAAAACATTACAAATAAAAACACAATATATGAAACAGAAATAACGGAAATCAGATGTTTGCACGTTTAACGTGGTATGCTCGTTGTAGATGAAAGAGAGATTGGGAAACGGAAAGAAATGATCTTAGATCGTAAGAAACTTTCGCGAACGTCGACTACAAGTGTATGAGTTTGTACCTACGAGCACTTACACACAGTAGTTACGAGGGATGGACAAATGGCGTCGTCAGCACCTCCGTTTTCAGCAGGAACAGAATCAGAATCTATTCTTCGACCGAGGCCATTCTCTTTCCCTTTCATGCACAGTGGTGTAATGTCCCGACAAAAACAAATGGAGGAAAAAATCCGCCATAGACAATATCGATTTTCGCAGTTATGACAATAGAAGGAGCACGTCAACAATACGGCTGCGATCTCAATAAGTGGAAAAAGGAAAAAGTAGATTTTATGGTGGTATATATACATATGGTGGATATACACTCGATACACTCGGTCAATTTTGTCAGAATCTATATTAAAATATTGTTATTTTTTTTTTTTTTTAATAATCAAAGGGCTCAGACTTCAAAACCAGGACTTAAGATTTATCTTCCTCTTATCTTCAAATCTTTCAATTGGAATTTATTGTATTAAAAAATTAAACGTTACGTTAACGTAACATGGCGTAACACATGGCACTCCTTTTGCCTTTCGACCGCATGACATAATCGCAATAACCATACAACTTCGCGCACTCGCAAATGTTTCGAGAAAGTCATGCATTCCCGTGAGATAACTTCGGCGAACGTGACGTATTCGAATGCGCCGAGTGATTTGTAGGCACGAAGAGGAAATAAGGAGAAGATAAGCGAGACGAGCGATGCGCATCTCCGTATGAAAGTAAGAAGATGTTAGGCGGGCAAAAGTGCGTCTGTGCATTAACTGTGCGAAGTGTAGTAGACGTTCCCATTATAAGAGTACGCACGCACACCATAAGTATGCGCCTACTGGCGAACGTACGATATGTATGAACACGTACGAATAAGTGTACGTGACGGTGGTTGGCACAGATACACTGGATACATTATGCATCGCGGATTTTACCCCGTATAATGCACTTGTTACCTATGCATATGACGGTCGGGGCAGGATGAAGTGTCGAGGGATGGAAAAAGAATGGGGGAATGCCATAACGGACAGATTACTTTTTCGAGGAAAATAACCCACCTCGTAAGTCGTCTCCGTGTGTTTATTCGCGCCCAAGTAAAAGCAGAATTCATCTCGGCTGCAGTAAATTACGCCGGAACAAAAAAAAACCTTCATGCTGCTAAGCACTCCAATAAAAAGGGGGTATGTACGTTATGCATTGTTAAGCCCTTACCTCCGAGTACACTTCTTACTCGTAAGCCGGTAATCTGATCTGGTTTTATAAAGGGAAGTAGCTGTGCAAGTTTCGGTAAGACTTAAGTCTTTAACGCCGATGCGATACTGATATTATTCGAGATCGCTCAAGCTTTTATGGAATTTTTGAGAGAGATTAATTAAATAACGTATTTTTCCCAAGGAATATCAGGGATAAAAAAAAATCACATATACATATTGATAAGACATCATGTGTATCGCTAAACAATAAATTCAATAAAAAAAAATCACAAAAAGTTAATGCAAAGGAAAGATTCATATTTCCTTCATTAATTGTGTACAAAAATATGTAAATTATATAAAAATTTAATTATATAATTTTATAAAGATAACAATAGTCTTTAAATTTTGATATTTTTCGATTCCAAAACTAAAAAAAGATTGCAAAATTTTCAAGTGTTAATGAAAAAAGTTTAAAATTTTAATTTTTTCTCAATTATATTTTAGCTATAATATTCTACGCAAAGAATGAAAAAAGAATAAATTAACATAAATATATTTATTTAATTATCATATTAATGATTATTTTAGAAGATACTAGTTATTTTAGAAGATATATTTCAGATGTACAATTCGATAATTTTAAACTAACAATGGGAAGCGTATGAGTTCTGCATGAATCTAGCCATCTATTAGGCGGCCCAATTATCATATTTATTGATACACACATATGGCACGGAATAGCTCAAGATAAACGGCACCGGGCATATCTAACAAAACGTCATTAATTGGAGAATACGTGATCTGACGATTATGTAACGTCACGTGTTCTCTCTGGACGGTGTTAGATGAACAGATTTAACGACGGCGAATCAATAGAGCTAAACAATATCAGCAATTAATCGCAAGGCCAGCGGCATGCCATTCAAATTTGGCAAATATGAATAATGTCCTCGATAGTCAACAAATGCACCGTACAATAAATGATGGATAGATCTAAATGATGGATAGTCGATGGATAGATTTTGTCGCCCGCGTTATTCATATTTATATCTTTCGATATTCACCGCGTCTCATATTTTTTCGTTCTCCAAAGATCAGGTCCAGGTTCATCATTAACGCTCATTAGAACTAATGCCGGATCGGCAGGGGAAGAAGTCGATAACGCCACGAGAAAGCCACAACAATGAAATCACAAATGGGAAATGACTCAGTCCATAAATCCCTACTAATGAATCCCCCAAGACACGGTAACATGTCGTGGCAAAGTACGATGTACGGCACGGGGAAGAAAACGCGAAACGAAGATCTCGTTGGAAGGGGGAGCGTAATTGTGTTTCGAAGAGTGGACGGGCGTCGGCTTTTCCGGCTCAATACGTTATGGAGAAAGGGGAGGTGGAGGAGGGGTGGGTAAGCGCGCGTGGGCGGGCGGCTCTTCTCCATGGAATTTTAATCAGCGTCAATTACTCGCGGGAGTGGCACGTTCTCCTTACGTCCGCACTTTCCTCGAGACGCAGCAGCAGAATTCAATTTTGTCGTCCTTTAGCCCGCTCAGCCGTTCCTTTCTCGGTGCAAGCCGACCTGGCCACGCGAATCTCCTCGTCGTCGTTGTTGCGAGAGGAGGAAGTAATAGGCAGGTATTACCTCGAGATGCGAGAAGGTTAATCCCGTCCCCAAAAGCGCACCCTTTCCCAGCTCCCATCTCTGTTTTCCCTGCTGCTGCTACTGCTGCTGCTGCTGCTGCTGCTGCTGCTTTACCTCGTGAAAACGTGCAAAGAACCGAGATTGCTCTCATTTTCAATGGTGCAACTCGACTCGCATCTTCTACGATGCAATCTGGTAATTGTACTTCTCCGTGCATCAGTAACCATCTGAAATTTTAAATGGATGTAATTAGTAGTTTACAAGATTACAATAAGCTAATTTACGATAGCTCGTAATAATTAGTTCTACGGACCAATCGTCTGTGTTAAATGTGCAATACATCTCTCTAATCCAAATCATTGATTTCTCTTCTAATCAGTCAACTTCCCTTATTATAATCTATAATCTAATCTTACCTCATGAAATATTGTAATATCAAAAATACATTTAATTTGATCATTCTCTATTTATTTTTTCTTTTTTTTTTTTTTAGTAAAATATAATGCTTAAATATTCCACGCTCTATTAACAAGTCGAATTTAGCTTGTAAGTGAAATTTCTTTCCAAGGATAAACATTCTTTTCAAGGTAAACCTACACAAGCCGCCGTAAGGCATTTCGTCAACATCAATCTATTACATTAAGATGATAAACCACGTAACGTGATAAGCACTTGCAAGACAAAAATTTCCCTTACCTTGTCTTGAACGAAAATTAAGCTACTAAAATTGTTTGGGTAAAAAAAATATTAGTTTCGGCATTGAAGCTATATTTGGAAATTTTTAGGTCTATCGCATAATAAATATAATACTTTATTTAAATAAATTGAAAAGTTATTTGATTCGATATAATGCATATAAAAAAATAGTTGGTCAGAT